ATTATCCTTTCCATTACGGTAAAGTGACTTATGCCGCTTTCAAAATAAACGGCTCGATTTGTTCTGTCAAAACAATCGATTCGGGCTTGGGAAACAGCATGTCAAAGTTTAATATTACCTCGATTTTACTGTGTCGAAACATCCTTCGCGCGCGGGCTGTCCCAAGGTTAGATTTTTGAAAGGAATCCTCTTACACGGTCCGTTCGTTCCTCCACAGAGCGGCTGAATGTTCGCGTCGACGTTTGACATTCGTCGCGCCAGACGAACCGAATCAGACCTCGGGGTCTACCGTGAATCGTAAAATGCGCGCAGGAAGTAGGCCTGCGTGCGACGTGGTCTCTTCTGCGCGGGGGTTACTAGTCATGAAAAAGGAGTAATATCGGCGCCGGGGCGCTGCAACTCGAATTCATTGCAACGGGAGAAAAAAAATAAAGAAAAATTCGGAAACCGGGGAAACACGGGAAAAAGCACGGACGATCGTAAAATTGTGTTCCGTAAAAATACATTTGTCGAATGTTGCACAACGAAAAACGGAAAAGTAAAAAAGTGTATGAAACGAGCGAGCACCGTGTTCGAATTTCGGAAATCTACTGATGGTTAAACTAGCATCGAACGAGGCAATGAAATGATTGCTTGTGAAAGGCGATTCTCGCTGATTGATCGAGACGTGCGTCCAGGCAACGCGGCGATCCCTTTATTACGTTACGATGATTTTTCTAGGTACGTGCAATCGAAGGTAAAAAATGAATTAATTATAAGAGGCGCGCATTCTTCAATTTAAAAATTGCCAGGAGTAAAGCCGGAGACGTTGTAGTTAAATAAAGCACAGGCGTGAGCTCGTATTAAATTCTACGGAGTTTTATGTTTTATGAAATTTGTGTAACGACGGGTGGGTGCATAAATGTCCCCAGTTTACGGGTTACACTGCTGGATTAAAAGCGCGGGGAGCAAACATTGTAAATATCTGGACCTTGCGCAAGTAAATACTTATTACGAAGTACAGAAAGTCAACAAATGTCGAGCGGTCCGCGGAGACTGCATCCTCCTCGCAGTGCGCTACTCATACGTGCATGTATATGACAATATCGCAGTTGTCAACGATGAAATACCTTGGAACAATACGGTGCAATAACGAATGCAATATCGTGTTTCTAAAAATAAGTTTCGTGTGCTTTAGAAATAAAGCGTGCGTTTTCGAATCGTTAGGAGAATTGTCTGCAGGTAAATTGACAGGAGAAAGTAAGTAGAGAAATGTTGGATTTCCAAATCAATTTATATTGAAAACTTGTTTGTTGCGCGTGCATTGCCAAGAAACGCGAAGATCAAATTAATAAACAATTAATAATTAAACAATAAATTATATATATATATATATTTTTATAATTTATTGTTTAACTATTAATATATATATAATATTAATAGTAATAGTAATATTATATAATTATTATATAATATTATAATATAATTATAATAATAATAATATTGTATAATAATATATAATATATATAATATATAATATAATTAATAATATAATTATTATATAATATATATATATATATATTATATAATAATTATATTATATTAAAAAAATTTAATTAAACAGTAAATTAATAAACATTCTTCGATAATTATTAATATCGCATTCTGCACTTAATATTTCATTTGGCGAGCGAAGTTACACAATTTCAATATACAAGGGGGCGAAATAATCTACGAATCTACGTAACTACAGGTATGATGAAATGTGATTGTAGATAAAATAGGAGAGGGTGAAATTATCGCGTACAATCCTGCATAATGTAGGCATCGTTTCAGGTACAGATTCGTCAGTTACCCTCCGCCATTCAATCCCGACATCCCCCAAGATCCCATCACGGATGCAAAATCACAGACCTGCATGCAAAATCATCAAGATCAGATTACTCGCAGGATCGCGTTACGAGCCGACGGCTCTCGTCAGGTGTGACGAAAACGCAAAGGACGAGGAGGCAAAACTCTGGGCGAACTTGGAAGATCGTGCTCGGTTGTTCGCGTGTGCTGGTTTACAGCAGCTGGGGTATACAGGGTGTTCGACTGCGCGCCATTAAATATTTTAGAGGGTGAGTTTTCCAACCGAAACAAGGAAAAATCAGAAGCGAAGGAATTAAAATGCAGGCTTTGTTTCCGAACTCGTGGGTTGCTAGTAATACACTCTACTAGATTGTTCATTTTGTCTTACAAAACTCTTTTTTTGAAACTTTTTTAGCCTACAAAAATAACACTGTTGCAAAAAATTTCTATAATTTAAAAATGTTAACGAACATTTCAGCAGTCATTGTTTCGTAATAAAATTATTTTTGTTGAAAAAGTAATAATTTGTTGGAAATAGCATCATTTTTAATTTATTTATTGCGTCAGACTTCAGCTTGAATCAAGTATTAATATGCAACTTACGTATGCGAGAAAGGGAAGGAAACGATTGGAGTTTCATTTTATGAGTTTCGAATGCTACTGCATTACTAATCAGATCCAGACCTACTTGTGTTCGAATGATGCATAAAACCTTATCGCTCGTGTGACAAGCTCAATTTTATCGTGGAAATAAATGTTTGATTCATGAGTGTTTTAGATCATTTTTTAATATTTTATTCTTCCTGTTTCAAACGCACTAGGAATTTTTCATAATCAGTTTTCAATAATCATTTTTAAGGAAAGGAATAAATAATTCATTTTGCTTTAATAATTATCGACGGAAGACATTAGCTTTGGTTGACCACAGAGTTGGACACTATTCGGATTATTTCGAATAAATATTTATATAAGGTAATTATCCGAATGAATTTCTTTTAGTCAAATATTTTATTCAAATAATTCATTACACGTTAGAAATTATTCTATTTATTTATTCAAAGAATTCTTTATTTGAAAAATTCAAAGAATTCTTTATTCGAATAATTCGAGAAAGTAACATGGTAGAAATGAATCGATAAACTATGAAAAAACAATTTCTATTTTATAGATGTGTATAAGAGACAGATGTAGTTCTGTGTGAATAAATTCTTATTCGAATATCATATTTGAATTAATTATTATACGATTAAAATCATATTCGAATAAATTTTGATGTAGATACATTAGATGTGTATAAGAGACAGATGTAGTTCTGTGTGAATAAATTCTTATTCGAATATCATATTTGAATTAATTATTATACGATTAAAATCATATTCGAATAAATTTTGATGTAGATACATTAGATGTGTATAAGAGACAGATGTAGTTCTGTGTGAATAAATTCTTATTCGAATATCATATTTGAATTAATTATTATACGATTAAAATCATATTCGAATAAATTTTGATGTAGATACATTAGATGTGTATAAGAGACAGATGTAGTTCTGTGTGAATAAATTCTTATTCGAATATCATATTTGAATTAATTATTATACGATTAAAATCATATTCGAATAAATTTTGATGTAGATACATTAGATGTGTATAAGAGACAGATGTAGTTCTGTGTGAATAAATTCTTATTCGAATATCATATTTGAATTAATTATTATACGATTAAAATCATATTCGAATAAATTTTGATGTAGATACATTAGATGTGTATAAGAGACAGATGTAGTTCTGTGTGAATAAATTCTTATTCGAATATCATATTTGAATTAATTATTATACGATTAAAATCATATTCGAATAAATTTTGATGTAGATACATTAGATGTGTATAAGAGACAGATGTAGTTCTGTGTGAATAAATTCTTATTCGAATATCATATTTGAATTAATTATTATACGATTAAAATCATATTCGAATAAATTTTGATCTAGATACATTTTTATTCGCTTGAAAATGTATTCGATAGTGTTGAATAAAATTTTATTCAACACTATCGAATACATTTTCAAGCGAATAAAAATGTATCTAGATCAAAATTTATTCGAATATGATTTTAATCGTATAATAATTAATTCAAATATGATATTCGAATAAGAATTTATTCACACAGAACTACATCTGTCTCTTATACACATCTTTTAATAAACAATAACTGTGTATTCAGAACAATATTTTAATCTCCTTCCGTACTCAATAGTTCATATGTATGTAATACATTTATAAAAATTCGCACGTAATCATAAGGCAAACTTGTGATAAAAATGTCAAACATGATCTACTAAATATGGACGTTATTCAATTCTTTTCAATCGAAATAAAATTTTGTTTTCCTGTTATCAATATTTAAACGTTAAAATAAATGTGCGCGAAGAAAAGATACAATTGTTCACTTCATCGGTTTATCTCAATTTTGGCAAAACTGTATTAATTATGGTAAACCGAAAAGGTAATACAATTATTATATTTTATTCTTGTAACAAAAGACATCAAGAATTTTTTCTCGAATTCCTAAATACCACTGAAATAAAAATAATGAAAAATAATGACTAATAATGAAAAATAAATAATAATGAATAATAATAAAATAATCATGAATAATAATGAATAATAATGAATAATAATGAATAATAATAAAATAATAATGAAAAATAATGAAATATCCGCGTGTTATCATAACAATTATGAGCGATATCCTAATTATAAAAATCATGTTAGTGCTTCAATACATGTATATATAGCATTCCAGCAGCCGTTTCATTAACATTTTTACTAAACAATACTACAAACTAGAGTACTTCCCGATCTTCCCGATAGTTCCTCCGCTGTATTCACAAACCGAAGCGATTCAACCGAAAATGACAGCAGAACAACGAAATTCATAAAACGCGATGCACTAAACAATTAACCAAAAATAACGGTTTAAATAAAAAAAGAATCGGACGCCGCGCTATCCCCAGCAATTAACCAGGTAATTCGTCTTGGAAAAACAGCGGCACACGCGGCCGAGCACCCTGTACATTGTACATATACGGATGCTGGTTTAGTTGGCGGTGTCGCCACGGGTCACGGTGGCGCTGCGCCGCCAGCGCGATCCTCAGTTCGTCACGGGGTCGCGAGGGGTACGCATTGCCTTCGTCGATTGGCCGTACCCACGTTCGTTGTTCGAGACGCGCGAAACCGTACGAGCGCTTAAACAGCCTAGTTCGCCCGGGCAAAACCCGCGAACCGGTCGGCCGTGATTTCTCTCCGTCTACGTACCAGTGATTCGTCCCGGTTTGGTCACGTTGTTTTCTGTGCGGTGCCATGCGGGCCTGGTTGCGCCTCGTCCTAGCGTGATACACAGCCGCGATATATCGTTTTCGCCGCGGGACGGGACAGTGCCGTGACCGAGGGAAGATCATCCGAAGGACACTGCGGTACCTGCGACAAAGGCCCACCTCCTCTTCCCCACCGTCGTCGTCGTCGTCGTCGTCGTGCTGTCGTCGAAAACGTGAGTGTGCTTTCTTCCACCTTGCGCTTCTCGGTTGTTTGCGACGAGGCTTTCGGCCTTGTTTCCTCGCCGGCACCCACCGGAACCCGAACACACGCGCTCACACACGTCCCACCGAGGAAACGTACCTTCCACTCGTTAATGACAGTTCGGCGGACGACTACGCTTTTGACGCGTGACTTGGAATTCCTGATCGTGCCACACGGGGAACGTGGCTTCCTCGCGCGCACGCTGCTAATATTCTTACCGAGATACACTTCCACTTCCGGTTTTATTCGACTAGGCCAATGCGTGGCTACTGAGAGTGTTTCGACAACTGATGCAACCTGGTGAACGGTCTTTTCGAGTCTCTGTTCCTCGGGCGTCGGATATTCGGACACGTGGTGAGGACTTTAAATTGGAATCGGGAGATTTTGTGCTTGTTTGTGGCAGGCGTTATTTTTGTGTAGATTTTGGTAATTTTTTTCTTTGTGGATTTTTATGATCAGCGTGTGGTGGTGACTATGAATTGGAGTTGGTAAAGGAGCCGTTTATTTTGAAAGTGGCATAAGTCACTTTGTTTTTAAGTCGATATATTTAAGGGTTTGCGTTTTATATATATATAACACGTTTAATTTATATACTTGTATTTGTTATCTTATTATATACTTGTTATCTCAAGATACTGATATTTTTCTCGGTATAAATAATTTCGTATAAACATTAAAAAATCACCACTTTCATTACGGTGAAGTGACTTGTGCCACTTTCAAAATAAACGGCTCAAATGTAGGTAGTATTTTGTGTGGATTTTATAGAGATCTTTCTTTTCGTTCATCTTTTGATGATTTTTGAATTTGTGGCTAATATTGAGGCATATTGCAGGGTATTTAAATTTAAGTCAATTGAGGAATATAGTCTTTGAAGAAAAATGTTATTTATATATAGTCTTTAAGAAAAATGTTATTTTGCTTGGATTTTTAGAATTCATATTTTAGAATTCAATTTCATCATTTTTAGAATTTAAAGGTGTACCATTTTTACAAGGACATTTTATGAACTTTTTACAATATTTGAAATTTTGTAACTTAAGATAGCTGTGGTACCCAAGCATTCATTTGATGCTTCATCTTTATATTATTAATGAATATGTCCTGTGATGTTTATGGTGTTCGAGCCTGAACATTTTCGATATGAATTTGTTTACTCCACAGAGTTAAAGAAATTTTGATTATTAGTTGAAAGTGACTACTTGACTTAAGAGCTGACACTCTAACATTACGTTAATAATCAAAATTTGTTGTAGCGTTCAATGAGTTCGACAATTTCAGATCTGGAGCACTTGGTACAATTGTTTAAGAAAATTGATTCTCTTTAAATTTTTTTCTCTTTAAATTTTCTTTAAATTTTTCTAATGTGTTTTTTAAAACAATTTTATATAATTTAAAGCAGCGGTATTAAGATAGTACAAACAATTGCTAACAATTTGAGCGTCAAATGAGAAATTTTGATATCTTTGTATGATGTAATCTCTTGTCCAAGCAAAATAAATTTACTTATTTAACAATCGAACTTTTCAATTACGAAAACAAGAAAATGAACCCGACTTTTTAAATCATTTTTACACGATTTTGTTGCATATGAGTTGACAATTCTCAAGATTGTGCTCATTCAAGTACTAATTAAATATATATTCGCAATGAAACCATTTAATATTCCAGATCATAGAGTATTATTATATTATTAAATAACAATAGCTTGTTTCAGGGGGGGTATGTGGGGGTATATCATGATCATTATGTAAATAATTTTTCCATGTACCAGGTTGTAAATTATTAGTTACGTAAGAAATGTTAATAATAGAACTTACTAAAGTATTCTTCCAAAGGAAAGTACAGCGAAAAATGCGAAGACTTAGTTTACGATCTGTCACGTTGTAACACGTTATTCGCATTCGTACTTTCCGACATATTCAATATATAGATCATACGCAGATAGGGTATGGCGCACTGCGTTTGACGTTTGCGTTACAATGTACGTGTCGAAGTCTTTTTAGCCGGTTCACGCAAGGGTGCTCTTAAGGTTCAAAAGACCCTGCAAGTTTTCGACGACCTTTGATCCGATTCAACGCTATAAACGGTATGTCCATCCGACAAGATTAATTTGGAAAATAGATGTCAGCTTAAGCAACGTCTGTTTAAACAACGTCTTAAGAAACAGCGTGTGGAAAATAGGGAATCAATGACCACTAACAATATCGGGTGGTTCCTGTATTCGTGAGGAACGAAACAGCTGTGACACATTGTTTGGCTTCAAACTGAAACCGAGAGTCGTTATTGTTGCGAGATTGGTATTAAACGTTTAATCTGTTCCCTAATCGATAATCAATTTCACCTAGAACAGGTATCATTGTCTGGTTGTTCGCGCGCGTATCTTGATTCAACTTATAACGTTTCGTATAACATAAAACTGGTCAAGAACGCATAATTTTTCCTCTCATTTTCAACCGAAAAGAATCGAACCTGCCTTGACGAGGCGAGCTTCGTGCGTTTTGTTTCGATTTCATAAAAGCTGAATAGGGTACAACGACCTTTGCTGAATGAATAGACCCAGATGAATGGGTTATTTAAATTGATTTGAAAGCAGCAACTCCTTTCGAACTAATTGCCCCATGCGGGATCGATTGTTGCAAACATTTTTCAGATATTCCACAGTTATAGCAGCTAAAACCTGAATAGACAACCGAAACAATACTTCGCTATCCTTTCACCGGTCTCGAACCGACAACGAAGCACCCGGTAAACAAAAAAAAGAAAAGACATAATTATCGGTAATCGTAAAAACGCGCAATGTCTATTTTCACTCGCACAACGCAAAATATAACGAACAATATTCCGTAAAATGCTTAAAATTCGCAGAAACAAAATCTACATTTAAAGCGCTAGAATCGTGTGCGGCGGAACACAGGGTGTTGTTTTGAACTGCCGACAATGGGGATGATCGGACAACAGCGCAATTGATATGCTACAAAAGGAGTCGACGACGCGATACTGAAAACAATTCGCATCGTTATTCCGAGCGGTGCCCGCGGTAACAAGGTTTACAACAATTTCACGGCTGGGATATCCTGCGACGATCGTTGCCCGAAATCCGTGCGCATTATGTTCTGCACGTATGTACGTGCCTGTCCGATGATAATCGCTCGGAGACGTAGCTGTCAGGAGAGGCCACGTGGATACTCTACCACTGGTTGCTTCCGCGCGATAAGTGATTCTCTCGCAGCGTGCGAACCAGCGGCCGTCATTCTACTTATAACACCCGATGTCAACGACTCCTCAGGAGGCAGTCCGCGATTGCGATCCATTCACTATGCCGAGATTCTGTTCGCCTCGGCTCCGCCAAGCTCGGCGGATAACGCGCCGCACAGCGGTGTGCCATTTCCGAATGATCGAAATGCAATTTTCGTGGTGCAGTACAATTTCTCCCTAATTCGCGATAAGATCGCGCACAAAGTTAGAGAATTTGGAAAGAGGAGATACGATTATTATACGAGATTATTTTATAGTTGTTGACAATCGGTAACTATAAAAACTAGCCCCAAGGCTCGAATAATCGTATCTCATCTTCTCAGATTGTCCAATTTTTGTGCGAAATCTGAGCGCGAATTACAGAGAAATTACTGATTATAGCAGCGAAAATCTTCTGTAGCATCAAAATGCCCTTCGAAATGTTCAAATATCGTGCGCACGGTTACTGAAATATAGATCATCGTCACGATCGATCTTTTGTGCTTCATAATTTTACTTTGACTCTTTTAACCCGAGTTTATCTATTGATATTTTAGTTACTTTTCCGTTAGAAATCGATAATATAATAATAATATAATTATTATTACTATATAATAATAATTATATAAATCGATAATACAATAATAATGTAATTATTATTACTATATAATAATAATATAATTATTATTACTATATAATAATAATTATATTATTATTATATTATCGAAA